TTTCGGTGGGTGTGCAACTCCTTCATTCATTCAAATGTCTGGATGCGAACAATCATATTTTATATGACCCAACAAAATTTAATTTCTTGTGCTCGCTTCGTAGAAGAGCTTCAAACTTCGTATATGAAGGCAGTGGGGGTCTCAGAACGCCTAAAAATTTCTAGGGGTTGATTATATGACCCCCTCTTCGATGCTTATAGTAGAATAGGAACTGCCGGTGATACAGGTGACTCCACACTAAATTCCAGGGAAATCATGGTTAAGGTTAAAGCTACTGCTGGATTTAATATTTGTCCAGGAAGCGATCCTGCTGTTTAATAAATACCTTCGCAATACGCTGTATGTTAAGCGTCATTGAAAGATTACTCAAGCAAGCCGTCAATGGGGCTCTACTCTGGCGCCATGGCACCACCAACGTTGGCGGGCAGGTTAGACGCGTACAAATCAAAAATATTTAATATTCGCATACTACTTACAATCTCGGAAGTCTGTTGGGATTTGGACTCCTCCAGGGTGTCTTTCTCAGACCGTAGAAGCTGGAGTTGACTTTGGAGGCTCTCTTTCTCATCACCCCGTGCTCGTAGATGGCCCTCAAGTTTTTCAACTTCCTGCCGCAGTGACTGAAAAAGGAACAAAAAAGAGTTGGCGGAGGGTGAAGCTGCGCACGAAGATGTCCAAGCTTAATCTCCGCTGTGAATTCTTCACGCGTTGGGTCATACAACAGTGGAATAACCTCCCGCAATCAGTCGTGGAGGTCAATTCCCTACAGCTGCTCAAACAACACATGGATAATTAAATATGTGCCCTGTTGTCCCTCGACAGTTTGAACTTGAACTAACACCACAAAACTCCAGACGAGAGTTATTTGTAAAATCAATACTACTTAATGTTTGTCAATACAGTTTTTATAGTGACTAATTATCAGGCCTACTTTTTACATGTTTCCCCTGTTGTCCCTCGACACTTTGAACTCGACATAACACCACACAACCATAAGACAAGAGTTACTTGTCAAAACAATGCAACTCACTGTTTGTCAGTAATATTTTAATAGTGACAATTTTACGCGTGCACCATGTAAACAATAGGACTTTCCAAGGCATTGTCTATAATTTTCACCAAAAAAACTGGAAACTGGGTCGGGGAGGGTTAGGACGTACTATAATCAAGCAGATCGTTCGAGAGAGAGGGGATGGAAACTAACCTCTGAGAGAAATTCATTCGACTGCGCAGTTTGTTGGGCGGTAGCCAACTGCTGCCGGAGATTAGTCACCTCCTGCGTCGCGGACGCCAGAGAGGCCTCTGACGCCTCCAGTTTGGACGAAGTCTCCGACAGACGACTGGTCAATTGGGAAATCTGTAGTGAGCAGAAATAGAAAGCATAAGTTGCGCCAGACCTGGAAATGAACCAGACAGGTGAACGGAGAGGCTGCAAATCAAACGTGGAGGGGCCGCGACACTCGGTGTCATTCCGAAAGCTGCACCCCCCGACCAGGTTCCAACTGCCGAATGTTGTCCCCAAACAAAGATTTATAGAAATACGGGGGGCAGGGGAGAGACGCGTCTGCTGTGGTTTCTTGGTGACGCAGTTGCTGGTCATGTTGTTTTTGGGCGACGTGGTTGAAATAGAGATTTTGGTGAGGTTCGATTGCAGTTCCCTGAAAGTGCAGATATACGATGTCCTCCAATTTTCGCTAGGCAGATTTTGAATAGATAAGTAACGTTACGCATTTAGTAGAGAAAAATCATTCCAAACTCTGGACGGGTATTTTTGAGTTGCTGATTGGTTCCAGATGATCACGGAAATGGAACTATACTGGGCTTCTAATTTGAACATATACTTCCTTGATGAGCAAAAATCGCCTTCTATCATGGTTAATCTGCTGCAGAATTGCGGTCTATAAACACCGCCTCCTAACCGAACGATCCAGTTATTTCCAAGCGGCATCGCAGGCGGATATGAAAATGCTCAGCCAGTCTACGCTCACGCGGGACACTTAATAATCAAAGGCATTGTGCCTTGGAAACGGACAGCACTATCTGTGAGTAGCGGTCGAATAATCGGAAGAAGATACAAATAGGAAGGCACAGAAAAAGTGGGCTGATGACTATCAGAAGACTATCATCAGATAAATTTTTTTGCTCACATATTCAATTTCATTCGGGAAATCAAAAGGTATTCAAAATTTTTTTTGTCTACTTCAGTACCTCGGCTGCAGAAGAAGCATTCCGAGAGTTGAGGTCATCTACTGAAATGCGAAGACGGTTCAGCTCGTCTGAATTTTCCTGCAGTTGCGATTGAAGGTCTTGCACCTGACCTGCCAGGCGTGTTTCGTTGGCTTCAGAGTCACCTTTGAGTTGGAGGATTTCTTTCTAGAGATTAAAGCAATGAAGACGTGATTTCCTGTGTAAATTTCAAGTAATTAATTGCATCTACTTAATATAACGCCAGTAGGCAGTTAGTTTTGGAATCAACCAAAACCAGCAAATCAATGAACTACCTCGTGCTGAGTGAGTAGAGTTTTATTGCAATTTTCGGCAGCAGATAATGCACTTTGTAATTGGGCCTTTTCTTGCTCCAAATGCTGTGCTCTAGTAGCCTGGTCAGTGATGTGATTCTTGGTCTCGGCGACTTCCTTTTGGAGAGAGGCAACCTATAAAAGGGAAATCGGAAGGTCACTTCTGACCGGCCCAGTGAAATAGAAGAAGAAGAAGAAGAAAAAGAAGAAAAAGAAGAAGAAGAAGAAAATCTTGCTTCATCTACGAATAAATAGGAAGACAAATGAAATCAGAGGAAGCTCAAAAGGAACTAGAGGCTAAAACAACAAGCCATGACGCTTAATGCCAGCTTTACGAATAAATTAGGTCCACGCGAAGGCCTAAATCGGAATTTACGACCGTGAATACCTGCTACTATTGTAAATTACAATATCAACTTATACTACTACAGTTTGTCCGTTGCCAGCATGTGCATATTACGCGATTATCCTGAAATGTCTGTCAGGGCTAGGCCCAAAATATATAAATTGAATTTCAGTCTAGGTCTATCGACCCTGAATGTATTAATC